AAAAAAAAAAAAAAAAATGCTTGATCCCAGGACTTCAAGACCAGCCTGGGCAACATAGCGAAACGTCAAACGTTACCTCCACAAAAATAAATAAATAACCGTAGTCCCACCTACTCGGGATACTGAGGTGGGAGAATCTACTGAGCCCAGGAGGTTGAGGCTGTCATGAGCAGTGATCCTCGTGATCATGCCACTGCACTCCAGCATGGGGACAGAGACCCCCAACTCAAAAAAAGAAAAAAAGTCACACGTCGGGAGGCCACGGTGAGTGTATTGCCTGAACCCGCGGGTTCAAGACCAGCCCAGGCATCTTGGCAAGACCTCGTCTCTACAGTAAAATAAAACCAAAAAATAGCTGGGCATGGTAGTGCACGCCTGTAGTTCCTGCTACTTGGAAGGCTGAGGCGGAAGGATCGCTGGAGCCCAGCAGGTCGAGGCTGGGGTGGCCATGAGTGTGCCACTGCACTCCAGCCTGGGCAATGGAGTAAAAACTCCAACTCAAAAACAACAACAACAAAAGTTACACTGGTATATTAATTATTTTGAGTTGAAAACATTGGCGAGATTATAGTTTCAGAAGGGGCTAGTTGACCTGTCTCTTCTTGCATGTAGCAAGTCATAATAAAGATTCCTCTGACAGGGGTACCCTCCCCCCACCAGAGCAAGAAACTAGCCCTTATCACCAGAGATTGGAAAGTGGGGGCTACAGTGAATCTGAATAAGTATTTAATGACACAATCCATATCTTCCAATAGTTTTACACCCCCTCATGTATCCTAGTGACTCCTTCTAGAAATGTACTGCCCCAGTCACATTTTCTTTGTCCTGTCATTTCTTCTCAAATGTATCATTTTTTGCTTAAAAAATATGAAATCATATTACTTTGACCACTTATTTGGATTTCACTCTCTTATGAAGATACTCATATACAAACAAAACTCATAAAAGTATATGCCTTTCTCGTGTTAATCTGCCTGGTATCAATTTGGTTTTGAGATCCATCTGAAGATCCCATGTAAGAGCTAAAGGGGGATTAGAGGTGATCCCTGGCTCCCCTACACCCCCAAATGTGTAACCTCTGTTCTGTACCAGATAAAGACTGAAGCCTGGATTAAAATATTAGTGTCACTGACAGCCTAAGAACTGTTTTTAAATAACGGTTTTACCCAGGAGGCAGCCATAGACAGGACTTAACATAGGCTCAGTGAAAAAAGAATGCTTAAGCTCTGCTATCCCCCAGCAAATGTAAAACCCTGTGGTAGAAAACATTCCCAAAGCTGGCACCTGCTAGACTGCCACATGGAAAATTTCAGGAACATACCATCTTTTTTTTTCTGGAGATAGGGTTTTGCTATGTTGTCCAGGCTGGAGTGTAATGGTTGTTCACAGGCACAATTATAGGTCACTGAATCCTCAAACTCCTGGTCTCAAGCAATCCTCCCATCTCAGCCTCCCAGGCAGCTGGGACTATAGGCATATACTGCCTATATATAATATATAATCTGTTGAAGGCTGAAGCTTACTTATTTTACTCACCCCACAGTCTTAGCACACTGGAATGAGTTCTGCCTTTGAAAACAAAGTCTTGGAACTACTAGAAGTACCTCCTGATGTAGTCAGTGCTGTTCATCCTGTTAGAAGTTTTAGATAACATGAAGTATCAGCTATGCTCTTTTCTCTTTTTTTTGAGTTGGAGTCTCACTTTGTCACCCAGGCTGGAGGGCAGTGGCACGCTCCAGGCCACCGCAGCCTCGACCTGCTGGGCTCCAGCGATCCTTCTGCCTCAGCCTTCCGAGTAGCCGGAATTACAGGCACGCGCTATCACGCCCGGCTGATTTTTTGATTTGTTGTAGAGATGAGATCTTGCTGCCCAGGCAGGTCTCGAACCCGTGGGCTCAGGCAATCCACTCACCTCAGCCTCCCAAAGGCGCAGGATTACAGGCTGAGCCACCGAGCCCGGCTAGCTATGCTTGAATTCCTCCTCTGAAATCAGGTTACGTATTTATCCACAGGGCGGCAGGTTTCTTTATAGGCTCCCTAACCTAAGGTAGAGCTTCCTTTCTTGGGGTAATATAAATCAATCACACTTCTGGGGTGAATCACATATTTTCTTTTCATTTATCACTCACCTTATTGTCCCTAGATCTCAGCAAACTGGTAATCAGACTTCCTCGTTTAAAAAGTAGCTTTGAAAACAGGGGCCCATTGATGTCAGCTCCTCCCATCAGACCATAGAGAACCCAGCGACCATCAAGAGCCAAGCAGTTGACATTCTTCTCCCAGTAGGATCCGCCTATGCAGTCTAGAATGAGGTTAACTCCAGCACCTTCCATAGAAAACAGATTTGTGATGGTAGTCAGACACAGAAAGCTTGGTGCAAAATAAGATACCATGGTATATTTCTGGTTATGTGGGTATGAATAAATATAGATGTCAGTGGTAAATCTATAGGTTGGAACTGGAAACATTGTTCATAGAAACACTGTTGTAAATGGAGTTTAGGGGGTTGAACTGTATTATGGCATGTGTGATATGGTTCATCTTGTAAGATCCCTAGCCACAACAAGAGGGAAATTTGTCAACATGATGACCTGGTATCTCTTCTTACACCTAACTAAGTATAACCCCCTGGCACCCAAGCATGGGTGAAAATAGAACATGGGAGGTCTGCCCTGGGTTGTTCACATTGAAATTATGGAGTGTCTGCACTGAGTTATGTGAATCATAGGTTTGCTGGCTTTGGTTTCATTTCTCCTTTTCTACTGATGAAAAACAGAAAGGAAGAGCCAAAAATATACAGATTTGGCTTTGGAATAATGAGGTGTGCACATCTACTCACCCATTTAAGGAACTACCACCCAAGCCTAGTCTGAGCAGCTCCAAACTGGTCTCTACTCACTTCAAAGCCTTCTCTTCCAAAAATCCTTCTGTGGAGCAGGCAAGGAACCCCAGCACTTTGAGAGGCCGAGGTGA